GTGTGTGTGTGTGTGTGTGTGTGCGTGTGTGTGTGTGAGTAAGGTAGGGCAGTTTGGCATGCATTAGGGTTTGGGGGGGGGGGGGGGGGGTGTCACTTTAAGACCCCCCCCCCCATCTCCCTGGATCTGCCTGGGATAGTACAGGCTTTTCACACACACACAGAAAGCAGACAGCCTGTCATGCCACCTAAGCGGACCTCTGTGCACTCCCCCCACCCCGCTCCTCCCCCTCTCTCTTTTGTACTCTCTCCCTTCTTCTCTCTCTCTTTTAGTGTCTCTGTCTCTCTTTCTGTCTCATGTGCCTCTCCTAGTGTGTGTGTGTGTGTATGTGTGTGTGTCTCTCTCTCTCTCTCTCTCTGCCTGTGCCTCTCATGTCATACTTCTCCTTCTCTCCATATCTATCTGTCGCTCTTTCTTTCAGTTACTCTCTCTCTTTCTCTGCATGTGACTCTCGGCAGCCTCACTCTGTCATTCTTTCTCTCTCTTCGTCCCCCTAGTCTCTCTCTCTCTCACTCTCTGCCCTCCCCTTACAGGCTTTACCCCACAGTCCTCAATCTGAGTCGCCCCCATGCTTTTAGCTGGCAGAGTGATGGCAGCACCACGGACACCGTTGGATTACTGATGGGAGGGGGGGGGGGGCACTAATGGGGCTGTTTGACCACAGGGTAAAAGGACCCCATTTACAGCACAGAGAAATCCATGGGGTTGATCCCTGAAAATTCCCCCATAAACATGGAAAAACCTGACATGCCCACATGAGCGGTTTCATTTTATACACCTTTAGTTTACATACATTGTGTTAATTTCGCTGGAATGGACCAGGTTCTGAAAGCCAGGCCGCGGGAGAGTCCCTTGCGTAGGGTGTGTGTGTGTGTGTGTGTGTGTGTGTGTGTGTGTGTGTGTGTGTGTGTGTGTGTCTCCTCTGTGTTTACACATAATCCTGGTGACAAAACTAGGCCAGCTAAAACAAGCACTTTCCACTGTGTTACAGTATGCTGGCATTGCCTGTCTGCTGCCCTCTAGTGGCTGATATGTGTCTTCGACTTGCGTGGGAGCCTTCACGTTTGCACAGGGGCTCTGTATCCAATGGCATGTGGGCGGCGCAGAGCTCCTGCCGTCGTTGCCGCTGATGCAAATCAGAATTTGTTTTTTTGTATTTGGGCTGACCTACATAGCTGATGTTTATCGTATTTGTACAGCTGGGTGCTCAGTCAGGAAGTGCAGAGGGAGAGTTCCACTCAAGGCTGGGAGCCGCTGAGAGGCGGGCCGAGGGCGCCGCCCGCTGCCGGCTGGGGGGGGGGGATCACGCCGCTGAGGGTCTCCGACAGCTCGTCTGTGTGTGAGAGGGCCGCTGTGTGCAGCGGGCGCCCCGTACGCATCAGCGCGTGGGGGACGCCGTGTCTGTCAGTAACTGCAGGATCTCTACAGGGCTGCATGTTTATCGGTTGCTTTCGGATAAAGAAAAAAAATCCTAGTGTAGCGGGATCCCAGGGGATTTTATCCCGTACGTGTTCTCCGGCCCCCTGTCCGCCCGCCTGCACTCTCTCACTCTCTCGCTCTCTCCCTCTCTCGCTCCCTGGCTCCTTCCCTCCCTCTCCCTGTCAGCGTAGCCTGGGCGCCCTGCCAGTTGGCGCGTGTGTTTTTTGAATGAATACCTGATGAAGCCGGCGGGCGGGGTGCGGCGGGGTGGAGGGGGTACAGTGGGCGGAGCCGTGACGGCGGCCTCGCTGTACTGAGAGCGCTGGCAGCCACACGGGCCCTTGCATAACGCGCTCCGAAGCTCCTTGCGAGAGCAGGGCCCGTCGGGGGGGAGCTTCCTTCGCCTCGCTGGCGCCCCCTCGCCACCACCTAGGGCAGGGCCGGCGGAGCCCTCGGGACGGCCCAGATATCGGCTGGTTTTTGGGAGCGTCCTGCATGCGGTGGGTACAAGCCGGGGGCTCGGTGGGGGGGGGGGGGGGGGGGGGGGTTTGCCATCTGAGCCAAGACTGCATGGGGAACCGAAGACTTTCGTGAAATGTAGTGCCGGGGAAGGGGGGGGGGGGGGCCCAGCGGGGACTGTTACCCAGGCTGCTCCCTAAAGCGCCTCTTACCTGCTGCTGCTGCCACCGGGGCGATTCCTGCCCCTTTCCAGCGCTGCCTCCCCCAGCCTGGATTATGTCCCAGGGGTGGAAAAACGCAAGTCATTCAGCCCTTTCTGTGGGGCTCCCTCCTTATGGCTGCTACGTTTTGTGTGTGTGTGTGCCCATGCGAGTGTGTGTGTGTGTGTGTGTGTGTGTGTGAGTCCGTGGCCCTGTATTGTGTCCGCTTTCAGCTGGCAGCGCCGATGGGGACCCAGGCTTTTTGTGCAGGCACTGATAGCTCTGTGTTCCCCAGCCGACCGTTTCGGTCACTGGCTCCGCCTCTTAAAGGCACAGAGACCTGATTCGGGGCATGGGGGGGGGATGATGATTCAGGGGGCTGGGAACTGAGAGCAGTAGGGGAGCCCCTGTAGGCCTGGTTAAAACTGGAGACAGAATGGAATGCATCTTTGCAGACTGACGAGGGTAAGGAAAGTGATGAGGATGACGAGGGTGATGAGGGTGCTGCATGGACACACGTGGGGCGGTCTGTGATTTTGACAACTCGCAGCTTGGTCTGAGACTGACACGTGTTCCGGAGCATTCTTTAAACCTGCATCTGATGGTACTGTGAGCTGGGGCAGACAGGACGGCGTCGGAATTGTGATGCGTGGAAATGCAGTCCAGGTACCGATTTTTGTAGGTGAGCATCGTGGATTTGTGCTGCAATTCTGCTGCGTTCATGTTCACTTGCTCCTGGGGATGCTGGGTTATACCTGCTCCACAGTGCCATTCTCTGGTGAGGCTTTACCGTACGCCAGAACCTGGAGATGAGGCCCCATGGGTGGTCATTTGCTGTTAGTGATGTGGAGAGGGGGGGTTCAGTGATGTGCACTCCCAGCCTGGGGATGGTGGGGGGGTGAGATCAGTTTGCACCTTCGGTGTGAATAACCCTGACGACTGGTAACACGCACACACAAAAACAACCCCTCCTGGGGTGTCACGGACACGGGGAGGTGACGGGAAGGTCCCCCAGAAGGTCCCCCAATGCATCGCGTCACGTCATCCGGGTGAGAATCTCTCCCAGGCCGGGAGAAGCTGTCTGACTGACACCCCCAGCAGCCAGACACAGAGCATGTGTTCATCTGTGAGCTGGGAGTGGCAAGTGGTCTGCCCCCCCCCCTCCCCATCAACACAGCCTCAATGTGTCTGTTCCTGCTGTGTGTGTCCCCTGCTCCCTCCCCCCCGAGAATGAAAGGCTAGTTTCCCATGATGCTGTGTGTGTGTGTGTGTGTGTGTGTGTGT